CCAGAGCCAGCATTCGGAGCCGCACTCTGGTCACCTCCCCGCTCGGGCCAGACCCGCACGACCCTCAGGCTCCGCTCGCCCTCACCCTGCTGCCTGCCTCACGCTGGGACACTGCCCGATCAGCCCTTCCTCTGAAGTGTCCGTTTTGAGACGAGTTCTTGCTAAGTAGCCCTGGCTGGCCTCCAGCTCTCCTCCTCCTGCCTCAGCCTCCTCAATAGCTGGGATTACAGCAGTGCACGCCACGGCTTTGCATTTTTTTGCTCTCAACATCTCCTCATAGCCAGGCTGCTCCAGAGCACTCTGGCCCTGCTTTCCCCTCCTGGCAGGGGCAGACAGACTGCCTCTTCTGTGTCCACTCTACCCCCACCCACAGCTGGTTCCTTAAGGTCAGGCGTCTTTTGAGATCCAGAGCTTATTTTTATATTTCTGTCGGAGCACAGTGAGGACCGATAGGAGAGGCTCAGCAAGTATCTGTGGTCCAACACTGTCCCCTCATAGCGCTAGGTCTCTGTCCCCAGGGCACTGTGGGCTCAAGAGCATGAGGTGAAAGTGTTCCTTCCTACTCTATTTTCTGGAAGAGATGATGGAAATTTGGTTTTATTATTCATTTATTTTTGGTACCGGGGATTGAACTTGGGACCTTGTGCTTGCAAGGCAGGCATTGGCACCACTGAGCTAAATCCCAGGGCCTGGTTTTATTTATTTATTTATTTTATTTTTTATTTTTTGGGGGAGTGGTACTGGGGATTGAACTTAGGTCTTTGTGCTTGCAAGGCAGGCCACCAAACCGCTGAGCTAAATCCCTGGCCCCCTGGTTTTATTTTTTAATATTTATTTGTTTAGTGTTTGAAACAAGGTCTTACTATGCAGCCCAGGCTGACCTCGAATTCCTGGGGATCTTCCCGCCTCAGCCTCCTGAGTGCTGTGCCACCATGTCTGGCAATAATGAATATTTTAAAATTATTTATATATAGGTTATTTCAAAGAAAACTATTCCTAAAATATCTGGTAGAATTTACCAGTGAAACCATTTGGACTTTTTTTGTGTCAGAGGTTGTAAATCAGAAGTTTGATTTCTTGCTGGGCGTGGTGGTGCACGCCTGTAATCCCAGCACTCAAGAGGCTGAGGCAGGAGGATCGCCTTGAGGTGGAGGCCAGCCTGGGCTACAGAGTGAGCTCAAGGCCAGCTTGGACTACATAGCAAGGCCCTGTCTCAACAAACAAAAAGAGAATTCTGATTTCTTTGGTAGGAATAGGACTACTGAGGCTATTTCTTCTGATGTGGGTTTTGAATCTTTCAAAGATTTGGTCTGTTTTCCTGAGTTGGGTTTTGGGGAGAAAAGTGCTTACGCCATTGTCTGGTACTCCTTTTAATTCTGGTCTTCAGGGATGTTGTGCTGCCATTTGTCTTTTTATTCTGCCAGACTGGTTAGAACTTCATCAGTTTTATTTATTTTTTCAAAGAACCAGCTTTGGTTTCAATGATTTTTGTCATTTGTTTTCCATTTCATGTATTTTACTCTTATCTTCCTATGTCCTGCCCTTCACTTGCTTAAGGGTTCCCAAAAGCATTAAAGAATTTTTGTCACATCAGACACAGCTGCTGTCCCCATTTTACAGATGAAGCTGAAGATCAGGAGGAGGAGGAGGAGGTTAAATAACTTGCAAAGTGTCCTGAAACTGCTAAGTAACGGAGTCAGGACTTGAACCCAGGACCTCACCCGAGACTCCCAGGCCAGATTTCCCCACCTTCCTTCCCAGAGATCCTCGACTCTCTGGGCCCTAATTTCCCACAACCCGGGGGCACCTACCTTGGACTTGGCTGAACTGCAGGTGACAAAATCTGTGAGTGAGAAACAAAACAAGTTGGATCAAGCGAGAGAAGGCTGAGCCTGTGAACACAAGTCCCTGCCTGAAAGGCTTTGGAAACCAGGGAGTCCGAGCCCCGAGATCCCCCGGGCCCCAGGAGGGTGAGCGACACAGGTGGCATTTTCTACCGGACAGGACAGCCGAACACGAGGTCACGCACCACCCTGTCCCGGTGGCCCAGGCTCACCCCGGTTACGGGCCAGGGCCTCTCCTCGGGGCCTGGCTCCTCCCCTCCCCTCCCTGACACCCCGAAGCATCGGAGAGAAAATGCCAAATGTCAGGAGTCATGGAGGCCACCACAGCGACACACAGCACACGGAGCTGGACGGGGACCACACCGTGCATGGCGAGAAGATGGCCCGGCCCCACGCCCCCGACGCAAGGAGATGAGCAGTCGGGCAGATGACGGGGACACAGGGCAGTGGGCCGTGGTGGAGACACCGTGGTCAGGCTGCCTCGGGGGCAGGAGCCTGGCAGTTAATCCACCCTGCAGGCGGCGAGCCCCTCCCAGCCCACGCAGTGAGAAGAGCAGGACAGATGGCGACCACACGACACACACGGGCGGCAGCGGTGACTAGAAGAGACCAGGCGCCCGCCACCCACCCGGTCCTTGGGCCTCTGTCTGGGGACAGGGCGGGACAGCCTCGGCTCGAAGGAGCCAGCAGCAGGGGCTGTTGGGTGCCTGAGGAGAGGTCAGGGGTCCTGAACTGAGGCAGGTGCTAGCTACGGAAAGGCTACTTTTCTTGTGTTTTCTTTTGTTTTGTTAAGGCAAGGTTTTGCTACGGAGTCCAACCTGGCCTTGAACTCACTATGTAGCCCCAGCTGGCCTCAAAGTCACGGTGATCGTCCTGCCTCAGCCTTCTCAGTACTGGACTACAGGTGTGTGCCACTACGCCCCACAGAAAGGCTTCTAGGGGTGGCATCACCGGTCCCTAAGGAAGCTGGGTCCCCTGGGTCCCAGCCGAGCTTCCCTGCTCCTGGGAAACGGGAAGTGGCCAGAATCTAGGGCTGGGGTGGCAGCTCGGCAGGGCGGCTGCTATGCGGTCCTCACTCCCGGGACCCTGCCTGCCCACCCTTCTAGTCACTCGCCGCTGTTAGTGACCAAGGCCGCGACAGCGCACTGTACCCTTTAAATCTCCAACAGGTCCGCTGGAGGAGGGAGGCGGGAGAGGGAGGTGCGAGAAAAGGAAGAGAGATTAACACGCAGCCCCGGAGAGTGCGCCCCGCGGGGCGGTAAGGCTGCCAGTGTCCCCTGGGGCCCCCCACGTCCCCACGCCCTCACCTGAGCCTGGGTCACTGGCGGGCACCGTCCTGCCGATGTTGGGCAGCAGGTACTCGATGTTGGGCACCGACTGGGGCTCCTTGTCGTCCACCGGGGTCTGTGAAGGAGGGGCCGGCTGTCACCCTCATGGGCTGGAGCCGGCACTGTGTCCCCCAGGGGCCGTTCTGCGCCTTCCCCATGACAGAGGGTCCCAGTGTCCCCCTCAGCAGAGGCCGGGGGACAGGGACAGAGCCTGGAGGCCCAGCCCAGCGTCTGGGCGGCTCCAGGGCTGGAGGCTGAGGAGACGGGAGGCCCCGGGACAAGGACGGACCCCAGTCGTGTCGCCCCCCACATCACTTACTCTCTCGCCCTTGCCCTCCTCATCGCTGAAGAACCAGTCTGACTGCAGAGGAGACAAAAGGAAGGGAAGAAGTGAGGGCGGGCTGGGGGCCCCTCCTCGGGACGAGCCCCTGGCTGGCTGGGGCAGCCGCTCCTCTGACCCCACGGTCCCCAAGCCCCACCGCCAGTCAGCGCAGGTTCCGCAGCGCCCTCTAGCGGCGACCTGCGCAGAGGCAGCCGGGAGCCGAGTGCGCCCCGGCCGTGCGGCTTCCGCCCCCGGGTCGGGGGTCGGGGGTCGGGGCGTCGCCTCTGCCCTGAGAAGGAAGGCGCCCGGAGAAAGGTGTTCGGAGGTCCCCTTCTCTCAGTGCCAAGCAGGACTGAAAATCAAGTTGAACCCTCACACTTCAATACATCTTGTGAACTTTGAGAATCCTCAAGAAAAAATTCTGAAAGTTTTCCGGAAAAAAATCAAGGGAATTAGAACTTTCAGCAACAACAGACCCAGGAAGGGAAGGAAGCACCACCTTCTATGTGTGGAAGGAATACTGTTTCAAACAGAATTTTATTCCCTTGAATCTCCTTTGAGAGTGATGTAAAGCTAAACTATCCTACGACATCAGAACGTTTACTGCCCACAACTTGAGTAGTGACCAACTAAAATAAGCTCAGGGTGAAGCGATCAGCACAGAGGAAGTAGAATGAACACACAGAGGGCTCCTGGAAGCTGAGGCAGGAGGATCACCCGGAGTTTGAAACCAGCCTGGGCTACATAGTGAGTTGAAGGCCAACCTGGACTACACAGCAAGACCCTGTCTCAAAAAAAATCAAACAAAGCAAAATAAATAAATAAATAAACATGAAACACGCACACACCCAATCCATGACCATCTGGATTCAGGTTCAAACTGGTGACAGGTGGCATAACTAAGAACGCAGCTATTTATCTTGTTTTGTGACACAGGGTCTAAAACTATGGAGCCCAGGCTAGTCTCAAACTCACAGCGATCCTCCTGTCTCAGCCTCCCCAGTGCTACACACCAGGCTCTAGGACCTAGCTTCAAGACATGGTGGGAGAAAGGAAAGTGTTGGGAGCCATTCTGAGGCCTCAATGGTCCCTTGGTGTTGTGATGCTCAGGGGCAAGATGACATCAGAGTAAGATCCTTGAATTCAGGATTATCACGGCCCTCAGGCATCCCAACAGACACTGGTAAGGTTGAAGAGTCTGGGTCTTTGCCCGCTCTGAGGCACTGACTCCCCCATACTTTGAAATTATGCAAGCCTTTATTTATTCATTTATTTATTTGTTTTCCTTAGCCCTCACTGTCCCCTGTTCTGGGCAGCCAGAGGACCGGGCCGCCTCAGACAGGAACAGACACCGGTAAGCTGCAGAAGTGGGCAGTGATGTGTAAACTCAGGCGTGGGATTTTATAAGAAGGTGGTAATTTGCAGGCTAAAAAGAGAATGTAAATTTTACATCAGGAAAGTCAATCTGTCCAAAGCATGACAGGGTGGATAAGAAAGGAAATAAAATCCAAATACAGTAAGGTGGTGCACACCTGTCATCCCAGCACCTGGGAGGCCGAGGCAGGAGGGCTGACAGGATTTCCAGGCCAGCCAGGGCTGCTGAGCGAGACCTTATCTCAAAAAAGAAATCAAAGCTGGACACAATGGAGATGTCTACTACAGACCTCTCTCCCTGGAGGCCCACGTGCTCCAGGCGTGGCCCCCAGGTGGCACTCTGGGAGGGGTCTCAGCCAGGAGACTCAGCTCACCTCTCCTGCTGCAGCTCCTAAAGGGTGTTACCAGCTGTCCATGAAGGATCAGTGGTGCATGCCCGTGATCCTAGCTACCGGGGAAGCCGAAGCAGGAGGACCCAGAGGTCCAGCCCAGCCTGGAGCACTCAGTGAGACTCTCTCTTAAATAAAAGGAAAAGAACTGGGGAGCAGCTCCGCGGTAGAAAACTTGCCTAGCACGTGGGAGGCCCTGGGTTCCGTCCCTAGAACTGAAAAACAGACAAAGGAAAACAATAATGGCCTTTGGAGAGAATGGTCATGCAGGTTACTAAGAAAACAATCTGTAAAGCGTGCACAGAGGACCCCGGCTACATGCCGTTCTGGAAGAGGTAAAACTATGGCAAGTGGAACGGGCCGTGGTGACCAGGATGATTACGATGTTTCACTGTCAGAACCGTTCATCCATCCATCAGGAGCTGGGGACAAACCCAAGGCCTCAGGGAGCTGGGCAGGGTGTCGAACTGGGGTCCACCCAGCCCCGCGACTACAATGAGATCAGCCATGGTCCTGCCCCAAGGGAACGTGGGAAGTGGGGAGGCTGCCATGTTGGCGGGCAGAGGGGCTTCTGGGAAATCACTGCAGCTCTCAACTTTGCTGGAAACCTAAAACCACCCCCACCAAAAGCTGGGGCAGGCGGTGGGTTAGCCACAGTTCATCTGCACAAGGGTGTTAGAAGCCCAGTGCACAGCCGCTGGGCTAAATCCTGGAACTGCAAACTAATGACGATGATCATAAAGTATCAATAAATATGAAAATTTTTTCTGGCAAAGAAACAGACCTGAGGATCAGTGGAACAGATTGGAAGACACAAAAACAACTCCAGATGCACTCAGCTACCTCATCTTTGACAAAGGAGCTGACCATCCCCACTGGAGGAAAGATAGCCTCTTTAATAAATGGTGTTGGAAAAACCAGATCTCAACCTGCAAAAGATTAAAACTAGACCCTTATCTGTCACCATGCACTAAATTAAAATCCAAGTGGATTAAAGATCTAAATATGAAAACAAAAACACTAAACTTGCTGGAAGATAAGCTAGGCAGAACTCTGGAAGACATTGGCGTAGGAAAAGACTTTATGAACAAATCCTCAGTAGCACTGGAACTAGCAGAAAGAATCAACAACTGGGATCTCATCTTATTAAAAAGCTTCTGCACTGCGAAAGAAACCATCAACAGAACTAAGAGGCAACCTACAATATGGGAAAAACTTTTTACCAGCTGCTCCTCAGACAAAGGACTATTATCTAAAATATATAAAGAACTCAAAATAATCAGCCCCCCCAAATATAAAGACCCTATTCTAAAATGGGCATCTGAAAGGAACAGACATTTCTCAGACAAAGAAATAAAAGCAGCAAGTAAATATATGAAAAAACGCTCCACATCACTGGTCATTCGAGAGATGTAGATGAAAACAACACTGAGATTCCACCTCACCCCACAAAGAATGGCTGCTATCAAGAAATCAAACAATAACAAATGTTGGCATGGTTGTGGGGAGAAAGGAGCCCTTCTCCACTGTTGGTGGGAGTGCAGAGTGGTGCAACCACTGTGGAAATCAATATGGAGATACCTCAAAGAACTAGGATTAGAGGTTCCATTTGACCCAGCCATCCCTCTGTTGGGTATCTTTCCTAGAGAATTGAAAGAATCATATCACAGTGATCTATGTGCACCCATGTTTATAGAGGCACAGTTTGTAATAGCTAAAACTTGGAAACAGCCCATCTGCCCATCAGTTGGAAACTGGATAAAAAAGATGTGGGTTTTCTATAAAATGGAATATTACTCAGCCATAAAGAATGAGAAAGTAGATTCATTCATAGGAAAATGGGTACATATTAAGGATATACTAAGTGAAATAAATAAGTCACACATATGCAAATACCGAATAGTTTCTCTGGTGTGAAAAACTAAAATAGTACTCAAGATTCTAAAGGGACAATTAGCAATGGGAAATAGGAAGAAAAGGACCAAAGGTGTAGGAACACTGAGAAAGATAGGGAAAGGGGAATAAGGGAAAAGGAAAAAAATATGAGAAAATGTAAAGATGGAATTAAAGTGTTTGAAGGTGGGGAGGGGAGGAGGGGGTGAAGGGAGGGTGGGGACAAGGGGAAAAATGAGAACCAAGACCTGGCATGGAAAGGTTCAGGATCCCGGTAATGAATGTAACTGTACTGTCCACCTAGAATGTACCAATAAATTCAATTAAAAAAAAGAAAAGAAAAAATTTTAAAGATACCAAAATTGACATAAGGGGCCAGGTGTGGTGGCGCACACCTATAATCCCAGCACTCAGGAGGCTGAGGCAGAAGAATCACTGTGAATTCAAGGCCAGCCTGGGCTGTGCAATGAGACTGTGTTTCAAAAAGAAAAAAAAATTTTTTTAATAAGGAAAAACAAAAAAAATAAACTAAGAATCATTAAATTATTGAAATAATCTGCCGAGCGTGGTGTCGCACGCCTGTAATCCCAGCACTCGGGAGGCTGAGGGAGGAGGATTGCTATGAGTTCGAGACCAGCCTGGGCTACATAGTGAGTTCCAGGTCAGTCTCAACTACATAGTGAGACCCTGTCTCAAAAAAACAAAACAAAACAAAAAAAAACGAAATAATCATTCAAGCTCATACCCCAAAAGCACCCCAGGCCTAGTTACTTTACGGTTCTATATTTTCCTTCTCTACTCCAGGGAATGTGTCGTCTTAAATTGTTATTGGCTTTTTTGTTTTGTTTTCTTTTGTTTTTTTGGTTTTTTGAGACAGGGTCAAAAACCAAAAACCAAAAACAAAGCAGAGTAAGAAGTTCCTTAATTTCATAAACAGTATACTTAAAGGAGAAATGTGACTGTCTCTTTGAGGGCAAGAATAAGGAGAAAGCGGGCCTGCTGGCACACGCCTGTGATCCCAGCACTCTAAGGCTGATGCAGGAGAAGTGCCATCCATGAGTTTGAGGCCCTCACATACTGTGGCAGGGACCCGTGGGGACACTACAGTGTTTGTAGTTGGGCAGGTTGGTCCAGGCTGCTAGAGAGACTGTTACTAACCCAGTCGAAAGCGAACAATTCAGGTTCCATGTATACCTAGTCCATGTACCTTTTTGTCCCCACATTTCTGTTTTCCCTCAATACTTTGTTCAGCTTTCTCACTCTTTTGGAAGCCTGCTTGTGTGCAAAGTCTCACTTGCGCTTTTCCCCTAGATGGCCTTTTATTTCTGGGAATCCTCAATGAAATCGCCTTCTTAGAACCTCATTTCATCCCAGTCTACCTTTCTGCTGTGCTTTGGCAGCCATTTGGGGTCCTCCTGTGAGTCACATGGTTCCGCCATGTTTGGAGGCCATTTTGGTTCATCACGTGAGTCAGTCATGTGACTCCGGCATGTTTGTTTGCTATTTTCTTTTTCAACTGACCTCATAGAGGGACACCAGGAAATGTCACCCTTACAGATAAGAGCGAAAGCCTCTGCTTTTAGGGAGCACATGAGCCTCCTCCCTGCTTCTTTCTGAAATAAGTTAGATTCTCTCCTGGTTTCTTCTAACAGAGAGAATTCAAGTAATTTAGAAACATGCCCAAGGACCTGAGCAAACAAAGGAAACAGCTACAAAGGTCAAGTCCAAGGACTGTGAGCACGCAAAAGTGCAGCTATCCTTGTGCACAGAACTTTTAAAGTTCTTTTTCTCTTAAATGGTAAAAAAAGAAATGTTTATCTCTGTTGCCTTAAACAAAGTACCGAAGTTTTTATTATTGGGATTAAGGTAAGGGGTACTGTCTCTCAAGGAGTTGAGGGGCTCCACCCTCCTCTCTGAGAAGCCGTCCCAGAATTCTGAAAGGACAAGAGAGACCAAGTGGGAATCAGAACCAGTGGGCCCAGGGTATGAAGACCATGGGAAACACTGCAGATCCCAGCAACCTCGCGATTAGAATGGCTGCATCCTTAAAAACGGGGAACGATTTGACCCTGACAATCTGAAAAAATACTGTCTGGGTCCAGTATAAGCCAGGAAATGATGGAAGATGGGTACAGAATAACAGTCTAAATTAGAATACTATTTTTCAGTTAGATCTTTTTGTAAAGGGCAAGGAAAACGGTGTGAAATCCCTTCTGTTTGGAAAGGCCCAGGGACTGTGGTACTGGAAGAGGCCTCTGAGAAAGGGAAACTGGTAATGTTGATCCTGTCCTCAGACACCCGCCTGTCTCTCAGGGGTGTGGGTCTGTCCCACCTGTCTAGGGAAAGCAACCACACCGGGTGGTGTCCTCACCTGCCCCTTACAGTCCTCAGGCCAGTAAATCAGCCCCTCCTCAAGTGACACAGAGGCTCCCCAGGGCCTGGCACCCAAAGCGACCCTGTTCTCCCCAGACAGCTTTAGACCCTGCAGGACGCACTCGGAGCGGAGCTTCTTACCCCACGAGCTCACGGCTCCCCTGCCCCTAAGGGAGTCCAGGTTCCTTTCTCAGTGGCAGACAACCACAAGGCCAGAACGGTCAGGCTGACTTTCAAAAGCTCCTGGTAGGTTTGCGGACGGCCCCCAGGCCCCTGAGACTCAATTGCAGGTGGTGGCTGCAAAGGTGTCCTCGGGAAGCCCAGGGCCCTCTGCGAGGTGTGGCCACTGAGGGAAGGGGCCTGGAGGACATCGGGAGATGGGTGACGCGGCTGTCAGCTCACAGCAGGTCATGAGCCCAAACCCCTTCCCCCGAGACCTCTGCTGAAAATGCAGCTGCAGCCCCTCCTCAGGCACTGATACGAGGAAAAGGCAAAGCTCAGGAAGTCCTGCAACTCCTAGATATATGGTCGATCATCCCGAGCAGGCTGCTGGCATTCGTGGCACGGAAGCCCAGGGAGACCTGTCTAAAATCTCCAAGACCCCAGCCTCATTCCAGTTCGTGAAGAACCATCTTTTCTCAAGGGACACGGTGAAAAGCTATAGAAACCCTACATGACAGATGGTCCCTGAAATTTCACAGGACTAAGACTACTCTTCTGGACCTCCAGAAGACCTGAGGCTCCTCTTCAAAAAGCAAGACCCCGGCCAGGTATAGTAGTGCGCACCTACAACCCCAGCACTCAGGAGGCTGAGACAGGAGGACTGCCATGAGTTCGAGACCAGCCTGGGCTACAATGCAAATTCAAGCCCAGCCTGGGCTATAGCCTGCCTCAAAAAACACCACCACAGCCACCACCACCACCAACAAAACAAAAACAAAAAGCAAGACTCTGGTACTGCCCTGGGTGCAGATACTTTGAGTCACCAATGACCTCTTATCCAGCTCAGTTTAAACGGCACGTGTATTAACCAGACCCGTAATGTAGGTGATTCTGCTAGGGCTGGGGCTCTCAGGCTCTTGGTGATCTGTCCAGTAACCCTCTGCGATTCTCTCTCCTTCACAGGAAGGGCGGGAGTCTGCCCGCCCCGCACACTCGGGCTTCCCATCCCCAGACGAATAGGAAGGTTACTGTCCTGACAGATCCACCCAGCTCCCTGTCAAGGCAGCTCAGCAGCCCTTCCCACACAGACGCTACCTCCTTTCCCACCATCTCCCGCGGCTTTTTTCCAACCTGGCCGGTGAGACAACACCCCAGTGCTTGGAGAGCAGGTAGGGCCGCAGGGAGGAAGACAGAGACCTCCACTCCCTCAGCACCCCAGGGAGTTAGGGGATTCCCCTCTCAGGGGAAAGGAGGCGGGAGATTAGGGTGTGACCGACCGTCTATCACGGAGGGCACGATCTCCAGGCCTTCTGGGAGAAATTGCTTAGGTCTTTGATAGGGTGCAGAGTGTGGCACAGGACGCGTGCTGGCACCAGCAGGCAGTCGCCAGCCTCCCTCAGAATGGGAGGGCAGGGAGCCCGCGGGAAGCTCCACAGCCCACACCCGCACTGTCCCCTCAGCCCGCGAGCCCGTGGTCCCCAGCCCCTGCTGCCAGGCTCCTTTCTCGGTGCTCTGCAGACCTTAACTGCTGCAGCCCTCACTGGGGCCCTGTGAGCCGAGCACTGTTCCTACTGAGCTTCAGATGAGGAAACTGAGGCACACAGTGTGTAAGGAGCAGGCCGGCTGCACGGCCAGGGCAACTGCATCCCCACAGATCACTCGGCAGTGCCTGGGGACAGTACCCATGGTCTCAGCTGGGGAGACGTCCCAACATCTAGAGCTCCCAGTCAGGCACGCCCCCAAACACCCTCCAATGGGAGTCCCAGCAGCAAAGAAGCATCTTAGCCAGGGGTGGGGGGCAAGCCTGTCATGTCAGCACTAGGGAGGCTGAGGCAGGAGGACCTCAAGGCCAGCCTGGGCTACAGTGAAATGCTGTCTCAAAAAAACAAAACAAAACAAAACAAAAAAGCCTTGCTTTGGGCCTCCCTGTCCCTAAGGCTGTTATTTTATCCATCTTGGCAGACGCTGGCTTTCCAGCAGCCTCTAGGAGCCACGGTGCCAGGGTCCCCCTTGTCCCGGACACCCTCACTTCAATCCCCCGACTGCCAGCGCCTCCACAGAGCCAGCTCCAGGAGGCCAGGCTGCCCTCCTGCGGGGTGGAGCACAGGCTCCCCGGCTTCCTTATCTGTAAAGCGGGGAGACAGGACCCCGCTGTCCTTCCCCAGGGCTGAGGCTGAGGCTCTCCTGGCGGTGGGCGCTGGCCCAGGCCTTCAAGACCTTGGCCAGACCTGGGGCTGAACAGCAGCCCTGAGCGCCCTCTGCTGGCCCCCGGGGGTACTGAGGGGCCCACAGGACCAGGAGAGGCCGAGGTGAAGATGGCGCCCAGCCCTGCGCCCTGCCCTGCCCTGTCCCCCTCCGACCTCAGCGGCTTACATGCTGGATCAGCGTCTCCACGATCTTGTAGCGGTCGGGCATGTGCGTCACCATGTCTGTCATGTTGTCCTCAGATGTCCTCACCAACGTCGGCCCAAAGACCAGGGCCAGGTTCCGGGGCTCCATCTGGGCAGGACAGGGGTCAGGATCAGCATCCCGCTCTGCCCTCCGCCTCCCACGCCCCATCCCGGTGACATCCTGAGTGACCCGGCCTGGGACCGGCCGTCTCCTGGCTCCGGCATGGACGCACTCGGCCAGCTTCCTGCCCTGCTCACCCCCAGGCCTGGCAGCCGTGAGCAGTGCCCAACCTGCACACCCGTTCAGGGCGGTCCTGAGCGCTGACTGCCGGCAGCAGGTGCACTAGGAGTGGCGCCGAGCTAGGCGGGGCACAGGGCTCCCTCACACGCCTGGCACTGCGGTGTCAGAAGTGCCTACAGCAGGGTCCCGCCTGGGTCCTGCCGGTCCCTCGCCCACCCCGTGCCCACCTTGTTCTGCTCCGAGTGGTCCGCGATGGTCTTGAGGTGGCCCACGAGGAACTTGAGTGTCTCGTAGTAGTGTCCTGGGAGGTCACGGATCTGGGTGGGAGAGGATTGGGGACCAGGCTGTGACGCCTGTCCCACCGCGGCCACCCCTCTCCCGGGCATGGCGGGGAGACTGAGGCCACATAGTGGGGGCCTGGGCCCTGTCCTGTCCTACCAGTGGCGCCCCGGTTTCTCACCAGCTTCCGCAGCGTCTTCATCCGCTCCCTGGCATCCTCGATGCGATTGGCCTCGATGAAGTCGCTGTATTTGTCTGGAACACAGCAAGGGAAGCTCAGCAAGGGCCGCACCTCTCCAGGAGGGGTTTGGAGATCTCTCTCTCTCTCTCTCTCTCTCTCTCTC